AAATCGCTGCCAGAGCTCTTTCTCCACCATCATTTGCCTGTTGTGCCAAGTCACTTCAATCAATTCCAGGTTGGCACGGGGAGGCTACGTACGCTTGCTTTGAGGTTGGTCAACAGACATGTCGATGGGACCAGCCTCATTGTTCGCCTGATGCTCCCAGTCCCGACCTACAACCTAAGTGATGACGAAACCTTCCATCAGGTTCCGGTCCATGAGAGAGGTGTAACGAAACCTAATCCTCTTAGGGACATCTGAATATTCCTTGATCTCTAGTAGCACCCTGCAGTCTTTGAAGTTTTTTTTTCGTGGTGACGTCAGTGGAGCAGTTCACGCATTGGCCGATGCCCTCGAACAGTGATTGGAGGAACTCGCACTCCCAGAGGTGGTAGGGGAGATTAAAGAGGCGGACCCACGTATACATGGGGTTGGGCAATGTTCTTAGCCTGAGGTCCTCCCTCCAAAGTTTGAATCTGCCCACGAATGACCCAAAATTTACCGGGCTGAGCTCGATGGCTTGATCTAGTAGTTCATCAGAAGGGAATTCACCATGAAGCTACTTGCAGATACCCGCTTGATCTCATAGGTCCAATCCCAGACGTTAAAGCGATACCCTAGCATCTCTTTGAGCTCCTCCAAAGATGGCAAGCCCAGCTCAGGAATGAAGATGGCAAAGGTAGTAAGCTCCTGAATGTTGCTGGCGACATTATCTGGCACGGTGAGCAATCATGGAGAGGCGCTTGCTCTCAGATCATGAGGGCAATCCCGGGAGATATGCCCCGAGTCATGGCAATGGATACAGACGCTATCATCGTGAGACATGATCTTCTAGTTTAGGAAACGAAGGGAGTGTAGTTGATATGAGGCTTAGATTGGGAGAGAAGGGTTTTAAGCTTGTTCGCAAACCTGACGTAGAGAATGGCGGGGGTGGGAGATTGATGGCTACGTCGTATGGTCTTGTCATTGAACATGCGAAGGGATGAGGGTAATTGCCACGTGGTAGCTAGGAAAAGCTAGGAGCTAGGTGATAATACTGCCTGTCTTGGGAACATACGCTACTATAGAATGCATTTAATGCAGAGAGAAATTAAATTTTTTTTGTTGGTTACCTTGGCAACTAAAGCGCTAAACTTGACAACCATTCCATAAGTTTAACAACCAAGCTCTAAACTTAGCAACCAATTCATAAACTTAACAACAAAGTTTTAAACTTGACAACCATTGCATAAGCTTAACAACAAAGCGCTAAACTTAGCAACCAATTCATAAGTTTAACAATACAACGCCAAACTTCACAATAAATCAAAAAGCTTGACAACCAGCACATAACCTTGATAGTAACAGACAAGCGATAGTCTCTCAGACCAAAACTACGGGTATACATTTAATGTCAGGCCAAAACTTTGACAATCGTGCACGAATATTCACCCAAAAGGCTAAGCTTAACAACAAAGCGCTAAACTTAGCAACCAATCCATAAGCTTAACAACAAAGCTTTAAACTTGACAACCATTCCATAAGCTTAACAATGCAACGCCAAACTTCATAATAAATCGAAAAGCTTGACAACCAGCACATAACCTTGATAGTAACAGACAAGCGATAGTCTCTTAGACCAAAATTATGGGTATACATTTACTTCCGTAAATCAAACTGTCGTATACATTTAATGTCAGGCCAAAACTATGGGTACACATTCACCCAAAAGGCTAAGCTTAACAACCAAGCTCTAAACTTAGCAACCAATTCATAAGCTTAACAACAAAGTTTTAAACTTGACAACCATTGCATAAGCTTAACAACAAAGCGCTAAACTTAGCAACCAATTCATAAGCTTAACAATACAATGCCAAACTTCACAATAAATCAAAAAGCTTGACAACCAGCACATAACCTTGATAGTAACAGACAAGCGACAGTCTCTCAGACCAAAACTACGGGTATACATTTAATGTCAGGCCAAAACTTTGACAACCGTGCACGAATATTCACCCAAAAGGCTTAGCTTAACAACAAAGCGCTAAACTTAGCAACCAATCCATAAGCTTAACAACAAAGCTTTAAACTTGACAACCATTCCATAAGCTTAACAATACAATGTCAAACTTCACAATAAATCAAAAAGCTTAACAACCAGCACATAACCTTGATAGTAACAGACAAACGATAGTCTCTCAGACTAAAACTACGAGTATACATTTACTTCCGCAAATCAAACTGTCGTATACATTTAATGTCAGGCCAAAACTTTGACAACCAATGGCGAACATAACCATAAGCTTACATTACAACGCCAAGCATTGACAACCAAGAGCTAAACTTGACAACCAATTCATAAGCTTAACAATAAAACGCCAAACGTAACAATAAATCCATAAGAATAACAACCAGTCAATAAACTTGACAGCCAGTCCATAATCTTAACAATAAAACGATAAAGTTAACAAAACAACCTTGTATCAGGCAATGATTTTCTTTGCAATCATGTTACAACCTTAACAATAAACAAATAAGCTTATCAACAACCCCGTAAACTAAACAACAAATCCTTAAGCTCAACAACACAATGACAACTGCATGTACAACCATTGTCTCTGCTCTAAGTTCCATAACCGTGGGTGAATATAACTGGCTCTCTTCAATGAGCTTGTATAATAACAAGATAGTTAAGATTCATAGGTGCGTGGAATGTAATCAATTCAGATGGATTAATACGTGAATCACATAGGAAGGCAGACATATGCTGGTGGAGATAGTCCTCTAGCTTACGTTAACACTGTATAGCTATACAGTGTTAACGTAAGCCAGAGGACTATCTCCACCAGCATATGCCTGCCTTCCCATGTGATTCATGTATGACCCAACTGAATTGATTGTATTCACTGCACTTTTGAATCATAATTGGGCGTTAATGTACAAACTCTTTGGAGAAAGCCACATACATTCACCCACAGCTCATGGAACTAAGAGCAAAGACTATGTGGATAATGTCTTCATTAGCGTGAGGGATGTCCAAGATCTTCATCAGCGTGCATCCTTATCACCATGACCTTCATCGGCGTGAGGACTAGCATTGATCTTCTGGTTAATGGCGACGGGAGAACTTGAAGGTTTTGGGGAGAGGATAAAAGCTTGGGATTTACATATAAAGGAGGGAGGGTCAACAGAGAGTTGGCGATGGGGAGATCGAGGAAAGATTACGCCAAAAGTTTATCATACCTATCCTATAGTTGAACAGGCGAAGGGGTGGTGATGTTGCCGCATGGGATGTGAGGATAGGTAGGAGTCCATGTTATCTTTAACTCTCCTCCTTGGACTAGGAAATATATTTAATGCAGTAGCAGAAAATATATCTCGGTGACCGTGACAACCAAGCGCAAGTGAATAACAGTAAACATAACATTCAATCAATAAACCTAACAACCAAATAGTAACCTTAACAGCCCAGCCATGACCTTAACACTTGTAACGATATACTTGAGAACAAATCCATATACATGATAATAAAATGCTAAACTATATAGGCTCGTTACAAGTTGTACACTAAACTATATTAACATTAATTAGCATGAATTAACAACCCGATGCTAACCTTAATAACCAATCCAAGACATAACCTTGTCAACGAAACGTGAAATAACAACACATCGCTAACCTTGACATGCAATCTGTAACCTTGACAACCAATTCATAAGCTTTACTAAACAACGTTAAGGTTAACAATAAACCCATAAGCGTAACAACAATGCCCTAACATCAACATTAAACCCATAAGCCTGCCTGCCCAAGTGACTTCACTATTACAACAGAGATTTCTTGGATTCTAACTGTATAATAGCATTAACCATTTGAATGCTAATAACGTTAGCTATTACCCACTGTCATTTCTCTAAGTTCCATCAGCTGTGCCTGAACACAAATGGCTTTCACCAAAGAGCTTTCCAGCATCCTGGTAAGTTCACGGGAAGCTCTTTGGAGAAAGTCATTTATATTCACACCCAGCTGATGGAACTTAGAGAAAATGATAATGGGGAATATATACGGGTAATAATATTTAAAAAAGGTTGATGTTATTATATGGTCAGAACCCATAAATATTGAAGATGTCTTCATCAGAGTGAGGGCTAGCCGTGATCTTATGGTTTATGAGATTGGAGAGGTGAGAGCTTAGAATAATTAAGAAAAAGAGTGAGTATAAATAGAGTGGCAGTGATGAGAAGATAAAGAAGATGTAAATATGAGGAGAAAGGTTATAGGCTGGTTCTGTATTGGAACAAGCCGAGGGATGGTGAGATAACTCTACTGCCTTGGGAACTATGAAATACATTGAATGCAGTCAAATAAAAAATATCTCTATAATCTTGACAGCCAAGTGCAAGTGAATAATAGTAACCTTAACATTAAAGTGATAAACTTGATAACCAATAAATAACCTTAACAACCAAGCCATAAACTTAACAATTTTAACGATATACTTGACAAAATTCTGTAAACATGACAGCCAAACAGTATTCTTATCAACCACTCCATAGACTTAACAATAAAAACGCTAAACTATATAGGTTTGTATGTAATTTTGATGACTGCGACCCTCTATGTTGTGTCGAGAGTACTTAACAGGACGTGTGTCCAACGACCTATTTTTAACAAAACAAACTCGTCTAGTACATGGTCTTCCCAGTCTTTTTTTTGGTGAGAGGAGGCTTTAACAATCAGTGACACTGACAACCAAGTACAAGTAGATAACAATAAACTTAATATTCAATCGATAAACTTGACAACCAAGTCAAAACTTTAACAAATAAGTTATAAACTTAACAACCAAATAGTAACCTTAATAGCCAAGCCATGACCTTATCACTTGTAATGATATATGGGACAACAAATCCATATATATGATAATAAAACAAAAAACTATATAGGCTCGTTACAGGTTGCACGATTGTAACCCTCCACGTTACATCGAGAGCACTTAACACGACGAGTGTTCAGCGACCTGTTGTTTATTCATCTAGTGCATGGTCTGTCACGTCTTTTTTGGTGGGAGAAGGCTTTAACACTTGCTCTTCTGGTGGTACAAAGTGCTTCCCGTAATCCGGGATGAGAAAGATGATCGGTGCATAACTTGCTCTGAATGTGTCAATAGTCATATAGCAATCATAATATTGATAAATTTCTTGTCCCATCCATGTAATTGCAGCGTACGCATGTTTGCAAGGAATGCGGGTGATGTCCCAAGACCTGTAAGAACATGCCCGATTCTTCAAATCTACACGGCAAGTTTTATTGGACTCGACCTCCACAATATCTTCCGTCGAATATTTAATCGCCAAGTAGCTACCATGCTGAATATTATCACACAACACCATCTCCACTTCCGGGCATAAGTATCCAGACCATTTCTGACCCACTAGCCTCCTTTCATGCATGCACTCCATTATTTGCTTCCGTATGGTCTCAACCAGACCATTTCTGACCCACTAGCCTCCTTTCATGCATGCACTCCATTATTTGCTTCCGTATGGTCTCAACCAAAGGTAAGATTCGCAACCTCCTTTCATGCATGCACTCCATTATTTGCTTCCGTATGGTCTCAACCAAAGGTAAGATTCGCAACAATGGTGCCTTTCTTATCTAGCTGTTGAAGGAAGTAACATGGCCATACCTTAATAACAAAATACTAACATTAACAATAAAACCATAACCTAAACATTAAAGTCTTAACCTTAACAACAAAATTCTAAACTTAACAACAAAACCCTAGCAGAATAATTCTAACCATAACAATAAAAATCTAACATTAATAGAAAACTATAGGCTAACTCTAACCTAAACAACTATAACGGTGTTGTAACAAAATAATGTTAAAACCAAGCTATTTTACCTTATACCAGGAAAATACACGTTTGCCCATCTCTCCGGGGAGTATTCTTTGCAGTGACGTAAGCCCTGTGATCGATCGCTGTCAATTCTTTCATATCATCATCCCATTCAGAAATTGTGAACTTATAAGCCGCAGTTTGTAATAGCTCACCCAACATAGTGGAGACATTTACCTTGTGTCCAAAATCCTTTATCTTAATTTTGAAATTCTCGACTAGATGCAGAACACACCTTGAATGGAATGCATCTGGAAAGAATTCCTCGACTGCTGCCGTAATACCATTGTCGGCGTCGGAATTCATTACCAGTCGATGTGGAGGTTGGTAAGGATTTTTCCTATCATACAGTAATGTCCACAATCCTTATAAGAACCATTTCTAACTGGTCACATACGCAATAAGCAAGGGGAAATATTTCCTAGTTGTCGTCATACTCAGTGGCACTAAGTAGTATGCCTCTGTAGCGATCTTTAATAAATGTTCTATCCAAAAATAATATAGGCATGCACCCAGCAATAAACCCTTCAATACAGGCATTATAACTAATGAACAATTGCCTGAACCTCCCGTCATCAGCATCAATAATAACACGACTCTCTGGATTAGTTGCATGCACCATGGATTCATACCTGCATGAATATAACAACAAAGCAGTAAATTTAGCAATGAATTCATAACCATAACAACTGATCTTCAAACTTAACAACCAACACGTATACTTAACGACGAACCAACAACTTTAATAACTAATATGTATAGTTAGCAACCAAAACGTAAGAGTGATTTCAGAAGAATAAAAAAGAATGTACCATCTTAGTGAATCGTAAGCCTCATCATCATCACCGAACAGGTCCTGTTGAACTGTCTCCTTGCCCCCACCACGCTTTACTGTAGTTAATCTTGATGCCAAAATTAGATAGCATGTCGCTCTTGATATCAACTGCACGAAGATCTGGCCTAATCTTCAAAACAACTTATATTTAGCTAGTAATGAACTTTCTTGATGCCCTTATGTTGCCAGCATTTGCTCCATGTTGACCGCAGGTGTGGGTAGATTCAAATTTCTTTATGGACATGATAGACGAATTTCTGAGCGGGGAAGCAAACAACATCCAAGGGCAACCATGTGTGTGCTTGAATCGGCAATAGACTCTTATGCACCTTTGTTCATTATGGTAAAAATCATACTGGAATCGTTTAGCAATTGAATAGTATTGAAGTGCTAATCTAACTTCAGCAGCACTATCAAATTTGTGACAAACTTCACGTATGGAGGTGTGCCACTCAATTGGGATCTTTATTTGGTGGTTAAGCATGGCTTCCAACAGCATGATCGAGTCGCCGGTGGGGTTGTCATTAGGAATACACTCATCATTACAGGTTTGGGTGAACGTGGTATCTGTTCACCGTGAATTTTCTATTAGTATTATCCTGAAGTAGTAATAACAATACATAGCCTCAGCAACGAACTGATAACCTTAACAACGAACTCATAAACGTAACAGCCAACATATATCCTTAACAACTAACCCTTATACTTAAAGACAGACTCATGATCTTAACAACAAACGCATATGCTTAACATCAAACACCTTATCATAACAACCAAGTAGTATACGTAATAGCGACCAAATAACCTTAACAACCAGTCTTTAACCTAACATTGACAACCAACTCATTACCTAAGCAACCAATGCATAAGGTTAACAACTAATGGCAAAACCTATCAGTGAACTCATAAGGAAATCTGGAGTGTAATTCCTACGTATTTTCCGACGTAGTCTGCGTGTTCTGCGAAGTTGAGGATTCCCCAGCGGAGGTAGCATACAAATTCACGTCTGTAAATCCATTACGCCGACAATACTCGAACATCAAATTTAAGTCATCGTCATTGTCAATTGAAATACTAAATTTCTTTTTCCTTTCGCATATGAACTTCAGCGAAAGAGATTGCATTGGTATTTTAAGCTTTTCCGACACTTGATATTCCAAGCTGATTATTTCTGTATTCTCTTTGATAACGACGAATACACAGTCACCATCTTTGTTGCTTTTTGCCTTCGTTACCACGCATAGAAGAGATCCATCCGTCATTTTATTACAGGGAGTAGTTGAAGAATCGAAGAGGCTTTTATTGAGGAGAATTAAGTGGAAGGAATAGATCAATTAGGGTAATATAATGGGAAGGAACTCAGCGATTTTATTATGGCTGGAAGGAAAATATATCTGGTGATAATTTTGGAGGGAAATGAGAATTCTCCCCCCCCCCACCCCACCCCACCCCACAAAAAAAAGGACATTCTAATCACCATTTAATGCCTACAGTGGAAACACCATGTTTCCGACGTGAGAGGGCGATAGTTACAGGCTGTGTATGGGTATTTTGGGTATTTTGTGAGGGGTTTAAACGGAGTTACGCTTGGGGATTCGTTTTGGGGGCTGGAAGAAAATCACAGATCATTTTGGGGGTAAAACACCCGTTGAAAAGTCTTGGGGGGGCACGTTTTCTTTGGGGGGGGGGGGGGCACGTTTTCTTGTGTTTTGGGGGCTGGAATCATTTTCCCTTATTATATTATAATTGCACCAGTAACTTACAATACACTCATTTTCTATCCAATGTGATGCCTCTTGAACTTTCATAACGTTAAAAAAAATTAGGTTCCTAGCTCATTTCCACTACAAGAATGCTATAACCTAATCCATCCCCTGCCAAATCATCTCCACAAAAAAAAATACAATTCTTATTCTCAATATCCAATGAACCAATCTTGGGTGTTTTTTTTCTGGTTAAAGGGTAATATGAACAACAGACCACAAGTTGAATCCATTACAAAGCTTTGAAAACTACAGTCAACAAAGTGGATTGTAAAGTTGATTCTAATTGGTAAAGAGGTACTAAGAATTTGATATTGTTGTTATTCAATATAGTTTTGTTTTTTA